CTTTTTTTTTTAATGTGTTTTTTTTTTTATTAATTACACTTTATTCATTTTGTATCCCCCCATAAGGCCCTCCCTCCTCCCCTGCCGATCCCACCCTTCCTCCCCTTTCTGCATGCATGCCACTCCCCAAGTCCACTGATAGGGGAGGTTCTCCTCTTCTTTCTGATCTTAGTCTATCAGTTCTCATCAAAAGTGGCTGCATTGTCCTCTACTGTGGCCTGGTAAGGCTGCTCCCCCCTTAGGGGGAAGTGATCAATGAGCAGGCCAATCAGATTATGTCAGAGGCAGTCCCTCTTCCCATTACTATGTAACCCACTTGGACACTGAACTGCCATGGGCTACACCTGTGCAGGGGTTCCAGGTCATCTCCAAGAATAGTCCTTGGTTGGAGTATGAGTCTCTGGGAAGTTCCCTGTGTTCAAATTATCTTGTTCTGTTGCTCTGCTTGTGGAGTTCCTGTCCCCTCCAGCTCTTACTATTTCCCACTTCTTATATAAAATTCCATTCACTCTGCCCATCAGTTATTTTTAATTACTAGAAAATAATCAAATTTAGGAAATCTGTATAAAGATCCTCATTCCCACTCCTCTTTGGAGACACAGCTACAGGAAGGGAGGCCTGAATGGCCCAAAGTCAGCTGGAGCCCCAGAATTGTTGCCCCTAACCTACACACAGTCTGCACAACTTCCTAGCCAAGCATCAGCTCCTCATTTCATGGGGTCTCTGAGCATCAGGCTGGCTTGCTATCTTTATACTAGAAAATATATTTGCTCCTAACTCGGTCTCTAGAAATAGCTGAAAATAGATGAGAACATATTCTGGTAATTGACTTACAATCAGAAACTATAAGAATAGGTGGGGAAGTTTTTTACATTAATTACATTTTATTTGATTTGTATCCCAGCTGTAGCCCCCTCCTTCATTCCCTCCCAATCCCACCTTCCCTCCTTCATCTCCTCCCATGCTCCTCTTGAAGTCCACAGATAGGGGAGGTCCGCCCCCCCTTCCATCTGACCCTAGCTTATCAGGTCTCATCAGGACTGGCTGCAATGTCCTCCTCTGTGTCCTGGCAAGGCTGCTCCTCCCTCAGGGGGGAGGGGGAGGTCAAAGAGCCAGCCACTGAGTTCATGTCAGAGACAGTCCCTGTTCCCATCACTAGAGAACCCACTTGGATACGGAGCTGCCATGCTGCCATGGTGTGGATTTTTTAACCAGAATAAGTTTAATGCTGGGATCTGACCGAAATGATTTTTAAGTTTCTTTTTATCTCATTTACTTGTCACATAACTTATAGGAATATGGAAAAAATTACATTAAACCAAATAAGTTTTCTGCAAAAGTTCCTGGGACAGTACAAATCTCAGATACTATGCAAAACATGTACATTGTACTATGGTATCAACTGGATTATGTCCTTTTACCATTACCATATTCACGTGGAAGACCTAATCCACGGAACCTCAGACTACTTGAGACTAGTTTTTTTTAAGGGTAGTAAAGTTAAAGTTACTGGGGTGAACCCCGTTATATATGACTTGCTTCCTAGGAAGGTGTTCTGACATAAGGCACACACCCATTAAGAAAAGGCCATATGAACATGCAAAGAAATTTGTCTGTAGCCAAAGAAAGATCCCCTCAGAAGAACCCTGGCAACCCCTTAAATCTTGGGCTTCTGGCCTTCATAATTGAGAGATTAATTTCTTTAGCTTTGTAACCCCTAGTATGTGGTACTTTGTGCAGGAAGAAAACTAACATAGACGTACATATAAAACAATATACTTAATATATTTACCCAAGAGCCCTGAGGCATCTGAATGTAAAGAACAAATTTATTTGCTCATCCAACACTGGAGAATATACTATGCCAGCCACAAACAGTACATGTTTGTTTATGCAGCACCTTCACCGTCATCACATAAGCCTATCTGTTTATCACATTTTAATTTATTGTATGGGCACGTGGAGGCATGCATGTGAAAGTCAGAGGACAGCCCCCAGGCATCGGTTCTCTTCACCTGTGTGGGTCCCAGGTATCAAACTCGGCATCTCAGGCTTAGCAAGAACCTTTACCTAGTGAGCCATCACGCCAGCCCCTAATGTTGTTTTCCTATCAGGAAAAACAAAAAACAAAAAAACAAAAAACACTTTTTCTAATCATTTTCTGTGGTGTATGTTCATCACTGAGGATGGCTTCTTCTGATTGAAATCATCCTTTCTCTGGATGTGAAGACTTTGGAGTTACTTGCGACTGACTTTCCTCATTCTGACTTGGTCTCACGTGAAGATAGGGCAGGTATTTTTTAAACTTCACTGTTAATTCTAACATGCAACCAGGGTTGACCACCATTACTCTACTTTGAATAGCCTTCAAAAAAAATTTTTTTTTCTCAGTTTCTCTTCTTTGGGTTCTTTGAAGGACCTCAAGGTCACCTCGGTTGCAATGCAAAGTGCATGCCACATGTCACCAACAATTAATCACCTGGAAACTTATTACAGAGTGCTGGTTCTGCCTGACTACTAAATCAAAATCCATTTAACAGGATTCCCCACCTAATTCAAATCCACTGCGTGATATTAGAAATACTGAATTCCCATGATAAGCGCCTGGAAAACTCATTATAAACAAGACTTTGCCTTCTTCCAGAGCCACACAAAATATCAGTCTCTGGGAAGGGCCTGGGAAGCAGGGTTTTAAGTATTCTTATGGAACCAGTCAGGCAAAGGCCTGAGGCCTAGGATCCCCTTACTTAGGCGAGTATATGCCACTCAGCCCTCTTTCTGTTCAGATCCTGCCTCTTAACCCTCCAATTATTATTGTGTGATATGAAATGAAGCAGTGAGACAATAATTTTTATTATTATTTTTCCACCACACATGCACACTTGCAAGTATTTATGCCACTTAGGAACAGGGAATAATCGCATTATTACCAGGGTATCAAATTATCAACTACAACAGCCAATGAAAGATTATATTGGATTGATTATTTTCACAGAACACAGCAACCCTAGCGGTCCATAGAAGTCTCTATGTTATGCAGGAGAAAAGCCTAATAGTGTGAAGGGTCTCAAGGGCCTTATGTCACGGTCTTAGATTTACAACACAATGCTCTGTTCTTTTGTAGATGCGAGCAAGAGTGGAATATCCTCATCATCACTCTTGGAGTTTCACTAACTGTGAAGACTCATTTATGAGGCTCACTTCTGCAAAAAGCATTAATTTTTTTTTACACAAAACTGACAGAAGTGGACTTGCTGTGATTATGAGAGTATCAGTGCCAAAGCCTCAGTCTCTGAAAGTAGATCTGGCTACACTTTCAATAAAAATGAAGGCAGAAGAGGAGCTACAGATGAAATTACGTTGCTCACAGCTGATGATGGATGCTTCAAGGTAGGAGGCATACAGGGTCCAGAGACCATCGTCCCCCCCCCCCCTGCTTTTGGAACTTTACATAATAAAGACCAAATGATATTTTAGAAAAAGCAAACATGTACAGATCTGTTTTCTTCATTAGGCAAAAATATATAAATTGTTAACATTTTACTTAGAGCCAAATACACAGCATTTAGCATAATTTTACACACACACACACACACACACACACACACACACACAAGGTTACACCTTCTATCCAATATAGTAACATTGCTTTGGGTTTGTTTCTATGATTACAGAAAGAAAAATCCACTAATGAAGATAAACATTGTCCAGAACTCTGGATCCATCCTTGCCCAGGCATCCTGTTTACCAACAGCCACTTTAATTCTCCCTTCTCAACTCTGAGGAAGGTGTCCTCTGTCAACTTCATCACTGAGAGATAGGCCACTATCTCTGCAGCTTCACAAGCCATTTCTATCAAGTTTTCACTGACCTACTCAACAGCAGATTCATACCTATCTTGCCCTGTTTTCCCTGCTATTATGTCCTTACCACTGAGTCAAGGACCCCCTCACAGAGGTTAGGATACAGTCTTCTTCTATAGCAGAAAGGGGGTTTGGGGAAGAACTGGCTTAGAGAGCTCTACTTATCACAGAAGATAAGTCAGGACAAGCAAGCCAGGGCAGAAAGGCTCAGCCTGCACACACACCAGGAATAGCTCTATAAGGTTCTATCTGTAGTATACCTGTCCCTGGAAACACCTTGGGATTCCCCTATTGTGACTATATTTGGGCTAAGAAGCAAATACAGCAAAGAACTGCTGAATGGGGAAGCTGGAGGTTGAGGATCCCAGTGACACAGGATACCAAAAGAGACAAAAAGAAACCCCTGGGTCTTAAAAAGGAACACACCGAAGACAAAACAAGAGTCCACGACTCTCCTGCCTTAGGGTTCCTAATTCCAGCAGATGCATACAATTTTAGAACTACAGAATGAGCTCAGGATTCAGGACCTAAGTCTGACTATAGACCCCCTTGAGGCCTCTTTGAGTTTTTTTTTTTTTAATCCTATCTCAACCTACTATATGACTGCAAAGGAAGCCCTTATCTGTCTCCCTAGCTGTATACAGAAAAGCCTAGTTGATGGTTTTCCTTGTCTGAGCTGTGATGCTATTTTAAAGGGAAGGGTCACAAGGAGGAGAGTAGGAAGGTCAGGAGTAGGGTGACAGGAAACAGACTAAGTAGCATGGAGATGTGAAGTAAACACAGGCATACAAATGAAAAATCTCTCTTCCTCAGCATACCACTAAAGTACTCTTTTCCCATTTTAGCAAGGAATAAGGAAAGTTGACACAGACACCTTGTTGATAAAGCTGTAGCCTTCACAGGACTCACAACATGATAGTCGCAAGCATATGTTCATAAATACCACAATGCCCACCAGCCTGGCAATCTGTAGGGTTCCTAAAGTCTGGGGAGGGTGGGTTTGTAGCTCATGCCCTGGGACGGTTCCTGGGTACATAGGCAGTTCTTGAAGTCCTTGATAAACATGTTGGCGCCAACAGCACTGACCCAGCCGAAAGTCAGTGGGCTGACTGCAACCAAGCACATCCAGACTTCGATGAAGGCCCAGAGGCAAGAAGGGACACCCAGACCTGTAGCCTGGCCCAGAGGCAAGAAGGGACACCGAGTAGTTTGCTGGACCCTAGGCAGAAGCTGGAAATAAGATAGGAAGAACCTTCGTTGGTGCCTCCAGACCCACAGAGCAATAACGTTTGGCTGATGGCCAGCGCCACGTGCACTGGCTTCATTTTGTGATGGCAATAGAAAACCTTGCCGTCGATAACATGCACAGCTGAAATGGCCACAAAGCCCAGCTGACTGGCCACGAAGCAGCATAGCTCGAGTATCCATCCGGAGACGAGTCTGAATGTCCACATCAATGACAGGTGGGAAGGTAAGGACAGGGACCGGCAAGTGTAGAGAAAAGCTGCATACATTTGAAGTGCTTAATATACAAGCAGTGAGAGGAATCACACATGGGATACTGTTGTGACAAGGCCACGGGGAAGCAAGGAACATGATCACAAATGTCACATTCTTGAATGTAAGTCCAAAGTGTACATAAGACAGCATGAACAGAAGGCAGACAACAAAACCCACGTGGCCAGCCTAACGGGTCCAGCAGGAGGTAGTGGAGAATCAGTTGGGCTGTCTCACTCCAGGCCCAGGGGCCTCCGCTCGCCGCTTTGCTGGACCTGGCCTTTCTTCTTTTCCTTTCTCTCCACGGGCTTCTTCAGTGATCAGGTAATACTGTAGAGGATTGGGCCACAGGTCCTCGTTGATTATCTCAACAATCTTGTCAGACTCAATAGAGCTGTGGTTGGAAAACCACCCAAAGAAGCTCCCATTGCTTCCCGGGTTTTCCTTGCTTAGTGACTGTAGATCATGCCCTGGGAGCCACTGGATGGGGGCTGAGCGAGACACCACGTGACCAGATGGCCCACACCCATACTCCTTGACAAGCACCTTATTTTGGAAATAGGGGTTTGGGCTAAAGTAGAACTTGATTTTGTAGCCCAATCTGGCGAGGCCAAGCTCTTCCACCTCCAGTCTGTTCATGTAGGTCAGCACATCCTTATCTCTGGTGCTCAGAAAAGATGACAGCAGGGGGTGGTTCTGAAAAGCTTTCCCCCAGAAGCCGGGGATGCTCTGGATGAGGAGGTTCCGGCGTTCTAAGTGGTGAAGTCGCAACTGGCCAAACTTGCGGGTAAGCCTGAGATAGGCCCTGTCAGCCTGCGCATTCATGGTCTCCAGCTTTAGCTGGACAGTCTCCAGGGTATCCATGCTCCCTATCATCATGGTGGACCCTGCCCCAGCATGCTTCTCTGCCACCTTCTTTTCCTCCCCCGCTGGGACAGCGATACAAGGCCCCGCAGAGCTCATCTTTGGCTTCCCACTGACTGTGGCCTGAGGTCCCCTCCCCGCCGCGCTCCGAGTTTCTAGGGCCCTTCTCCGGGGAACTCGCCGATTTCCTAGGCGGCAGCTGTGTCGCAGCCTCGCCAAGGCTCCCACGGTTCCCACAAAACCGGTGTCGCTGGTCAGGCGCTCGGCGAGGGATGTGGCCCTCTCCAGGCCCGGGTCAGTGGCCGCCAGCCCGCACTCGCCCGCAGCCCGTGCCCGCAGGGCCAGGCCGCAGTCCAGCGGGACGCGGAGGTCTTCCCTGGGATCGGCTGGTTGCGCGCCTCCCCGAGCAGCCCCGGCCTGCGCGTCCGCGGCCTCGTCGTCCTCCTCGGGCGGCGGGCTCTCTGGCGGCTTCTCGTCGCGCCAGGCATCATCTGCAGCGGGGCGCACCCGGGCTCTGGCCCGACCTTTGCCCCGGCCTTTGGTGCGGGAAGACCTTCGACCCCTACTCCGTCCGCTCATAGTGGCGGCGGACAGGGCTTCAAAGCTGGCAGCAGCCGGGGTCTCCGCCGAGCAGGCCTCGCCAAGGCAACCGTGACGTCACCGCAAGGCAGGACCCGCTGCACGCCGTGATTGGCTCCACCACGGCGGCTGCGCACCAGCCCACCCTCGCTCTGCTGTTAGAGTTTCCACTTGCAGTCAGCCTTGGTTACTTTACTGATTCAACTCCTATCATTGATCCGTGGATAGCAAGCGTGTCCCCACGGGTTCATAAGACACAGCCATTGCTCTTACAATGCCATCTTGAAGGCAGCCACCGCCAGTCCTCATCAATTTTCTAAATATTCTTCCTCTTGAGTTATCTCGTGTGACATCTCTTATAATTAAAAGGGTCATCGACATTCCTGTCTCATAACATAATTATTTTACTGTAAGATTTGCCCCAGCAACTTAACCCTGAGGAATGTGAAGGCAGGATTTAGAGATGATTTAGAAATATCTAGCATGACTTAGAAGGAAAAAAAAAAAGTGATAACTAGTAATCATGCACACAAGGCACTTTACTGAGTACCTTTTTTTTCTCTTTGCTCACGAAGCACATATTATTATTCCCAGTTTCCTGATAAAACTGCAACTGAAGGGCTGGTGTTACAATTCAGTGCTAAAACAATTGCTTAGCATTCCAGTCCTGGATTCAGTCCTTAGTAAAGAGGATAGGAGGAGGGGGGCAGGAGCAGAGGAAGGAATCTTCTGGAGGTTACACAGCTAAGGAGAGGAAGCCCTGGCCTACCTGACTATGTTACCTATGCAATCGGTTGGCCCTTTGCCAATGACTGTCCTGACTCCTAAGAAAACCTATCCAGCCTGTTTCCTGTCTGGGCTGCAGTGCCCCAGCTGCTGCCGGCCTACACAGAGCTGCATTGTGAATCTCAGTCTTGAGCCAGAAGTAAAGGCCCTGAGGCCAAGCTCCTATAGATGGAACAGGACACACATAGAATAAAAATACCATTCTAGGAGTAGAGGAGGATTTCCAGGTGAGGTTTTGAGGCAGAGGGTTTACAGGAGCAGTGAGTAGACCCTGGAGACCTTTCACAGCCTGCAGAGAAGCAGCCAGACAACCCGGCTGGCACTCCTAGAGAAACCTCAGGGTCTATAGCCAGGAGACAGCACCGTGAGTACTGAGGGATGCATGCCTGGTGTGCAGAGAAACTTCTCCAGTGGACCGTCCAGGTTCAAACACAACACCCTTGCAACAAAGAACAGGGAAGTAAGGCCACATGCCCCAGGCCTTCAGCCTCACTTTGATCTTTTCATATTCAGAGTGTCTATGTGGACCAGCAGTCAGGCAGCAGCCCAAAGTCTGCTCAAGGTGCAGAACTACTAGACAAGAAAATAAATGTTAACAAGCTCTCAGGTTCTCTTTTATGAACATTAAGTGTAGAAGACTGGGTAAGGGGGATTATTCTGAAACAAAAAGGCCTGATTTTAAACCAACACATGAACCCTAACTTTCTCAAAAGGCCTGCAGTTGCCTGCAAGGCTCCAGCTCAGACACAGGTTTCCCCACTAGCTTTCTGTCTGATACCATCTCCAACCTGGTCTCCTGCCTCAGAATCTTTATGTTGTCACCTCCTTCTACATTAATTGCTCCTCACCTCATATGTGGTCTGGGCCCCTTTACAGTTCAATTTCTCACTATTAATACTATCATATTTGAAATTGTCAACTCTTAACATTTCAGCTTGTGTTTTTTTTCTCATAATACCTATCAACTTCCTACACACTGTCAGTAGTTTGGAATATTATATATAATCTTTAAAGTATATACATTTATTAATTTGGAGTGTGTGTGTGTGTGTGTGTGTGTGTGTGTGTGTGTGTGTGTGTGTTAGGTAGCATAGGGAAGGTGTGGAAGTCAGAGGGCATCTGGGGTAGTAGTTCTTTGTTGAGTCTGGGTCTTCCGTACTGTTTTTATAGCTCGGTGTACTCCATGCTAGCTGGCTAGAGCTTCTGAGCATTTTTCCTGTCTCTGCTTCCCATCCTATGGTGATGCATGCTGAAATTAGAGATGCAGTGCAAGCCACTGCACTTAGTGTTTGATGTTGTTTGTTAGTTGGTGTTTTTGTAGGTTCCATGGATTGAATTCAGGTAGTTGGGCTAGCACAGTTGAGTCATTTCAGGGTCTCATGGTTTATAGTTTGTCTCCTCTCCATAATGTCACCTCCATGAAAAGAGGGGTCTTTGTTATGTTTGCTGTATCTTTACTTTCTGCATATAAATGGCACTTCATCATAACTGATTGAAAGAATCAAGTAAAGCAGTGTTTTTAAAAAGAGTTTATAAATGATGTTTTAAATACAAAATACTTTTTTCACAGAAGCAAAACTATTGATAAAACCTATATATTTTTTATAAATTTATATTTATATTAATTACAGTTTATTCACTTTGTATCCCACTGTAGTTCCCTTCCTCCTCCCCCCCCAATCTCACCCTCCCTCCCTTATCTCTTCCTGTGCCCCTCTCCAAGGCCACAAATAGGGGAGGTCCTTCTCCCCTTCCATCTGACCCTAGGTTACCCCATTTCCTCAGAACTGGTAGCCCATGGCAGCTCAGTATCCAAGTGGGTTCCCTAGTAAGGGGAACAGGGACTGTCTCTGACATGAACTCAGTGGCTGGCTCTTTGACCGCCTTCCCCGGATGGGGGAGCAGCCTTGCCAGGCCACAGAGAACAAAGCAGCCAGTTCTGATAAAAACCTATATTTTTAAATCAACCTATGGGAATCTATTAAACTATACATTTGGCTAGAAATCTGTCTTTTGTTATAGACTCTGGAGTGAGAGACAAATAACAAGTTAAGAGGATTGTTAGTTGACTAACAGGGATTAATCAGTCCAAGGGTCACCTTAAATCCTTATTGAAGGCTTTCCTAACCACTTTCCCCATGCTTCTCCTACAATAAGCGGTGCTGACCTGGACCTCACAGGCTACTGCCTCACTATATTATTTGTTAAGCTGTAATACACACACTCTTTTTCCAAGTTCTATCACAGAATCTCTTCTTAAACTGGATAATCATGGTCTGGAACTCTGTAAATCTCAGAGAAATAGAAGGTGAGCGGAAGCAGCCGATATCCCTTTTAAAATCTGGGCACTTCTCTGAGCACTCGAGGCTTAAGGTATCTCTGTTGTCAAGAGTAATAATCCAGCTTCAGTGTCTTCATCATATAAGTAACCAAAGGGTTAGCTGCCGCAGGGTTACCAGTGGCCAGGCCACTGCAAGCAAGCAGTTTAGCGAACAATCTACCTTGAGCCTTGTCTCATACTATCAGACAGATAAGCATCAGGTAAGTAAAGACAAACAAGAGACTAATACCCATTAGAGAAAACCTTCTGGCCCAGGCCACTCAGTCCCTGCAGCTTTTGCACTTAAAAGGCTAGTCTATGGTGATGAACTGAACTTTCACCAGGATAGTAATATCAACATTTATATGACTGAAGCTCAGAGTCTTACTTAGATAAGTAACTTAGATAAAAAGGACTATATACTTTATCTTTATCCCTCAGAGCACCTAGTGTGGAGCCTTACACATCCTAGTGACTGTAATGAAAAGCTCACATTTACTTGTGCTTTATACAATGCCACATCTTAACTCATCTAATCCCCATAACCACTGTATGGGGCAGAAACAATTATTGCTCTCATTTGAAGATGAGGTTACTGCTACAAAAAAAATGGTTCAGTAGCTTTTCTAAAGTTACACAGCCAGCAAGTGGTTTTCACAAAGGCCCTTCAACTTCAGTGTCATGTTCTTCCCCAGGGGCCCATGATGTCAAATTACAGCTCGAAAGACTAATTGCTCCAGTACCTTAATTGTTCTTTTCTTCACTAGTAAGTATTTTCAAAATTATAGCTATGAATGCATACCCACTTGGCAGCATAGGTTAACATATACTCAGTATATACAGCAAGTAGGATTCATCAAATGATGTGATAACATACTTGACATTGCAGTACTCAACATGAATTAAGTTTAGTTTCAAAAGCCAATGATGGGAAGAGAGCCCTTCAGTTTCTATTCTATTTGGCCCAAGCATTCTGTAACTATTATTAGATGAATGTAAGTTTATCCTGCACTCAAGGGACCTACAGATGCTGTAACCTCTTCCTCATATGTGAATACTTAGTTCACAGTAATGTGCATATGCAATTCTTATTGTGGCATTTCATTGTTGGTAAATATTTATTAGAAACTTAAAAATAAGTCAAGATGTTATAAGTACACATTGCTTTTGTTTGAAAGTCTGATTCCTTCTGTTTCTTTTAAAGTCAATTTTCCCCAAAACATAGAAATTGATAAACATCCCAGCCACCCAATCTATTCTCTGGCCAAGGGAACATTTCCCACAGTCTCCCTAGCAGAGTTTCAGGACTCCAGACTTGACATTGCTCCTTTTTAGCAATGGAGCGTTTCTCTTCTTCCCCAAGAAGACACTTCAAGCCCCTTTGGATGGCAGTGAGTACTGCATGCTGTGCAGAATTTTGCCAACTAAACCCCTCCCCCAGGTTCTAGAAGGGCATGAAAATAAAAAAGCAGTGTCTGGAATAGTTTCAAAGCCAAGAAAAGAAGGAGAAAAAAAACTTAAACCTCTTATGGTAAATGTCCAGACTATCTGAACTTAACATCTTGAAAACTGTGCCTGCCTCTTCAGATTCCCCAAAGACTAAAATCCACAGAAGACAACCTAAGTCATTTCAGTTCATTCACATAAGCAGCTGTAGAATATTTTAAAATATTTCCACATGTGTTTTCCTTCTTGACATTCCCTTTTTATCCTGCAATACCAACACTGCTTTAGAAACATCTTTAGGCTTAGAAAAACCTAAGAATCTAGAAAAAAAGATTTTTAAATTAAATTGATCACTTTGAATTCCAAAATGAATCAAGAGAAGGAAAGGCATAATAGCATTAAAGCATAAAAATACACACATATCCATACATGAATATGTGTATTTATGTTAATGCTGTTATGCTATAAATTGTGTGTGTGTGTGTGTGTGTGTG